TCATTTTCCAATAAGATAACACTTATTAGCAATAATTGTATGTGTGTTCAAATACCCCTTATCCTTAATAAAATTCTTTACTTTTGGGGGAAAAAAAAACTTATTAGTGAATTTAACTCTAAGTTTTTGTTATTAGTTTACCATTTTCACTGTTAATTTATTAAAAAATGATTGGTATACACTTGGTTTAGCCCACTTTTCCCCTTTTTTTACGCTCATTTAGTTTAGTTATTAAAATATAATATAAGTACAGTCCAATTCAGTCAATTTTTACATCATATAGGCATAATTACATTTTTTTTGTTTGTTTACTTTTAATTTCAGACTAAAAAACAATAAATGTTTAATAAATGTGTTGTGCTATATGTTGAATTAAAATGTGTATCAATCAATATCCTAATTTATTTGTTATATTCAATACTTAATAACTAGTCTAAATACAGACATATAATTATTAATAAGAGTTTTTAATTTGTGCCTTTATACACTTTAAAATATACTTTTAATTTAATAATTATCTAATCAAATTATTCAAATACAATTGATAGTAAAAGTAATATCGACCTCTATATTTCTCCATGTAAATTAAAAATTGAAAAATACATTTATTACTTCTTTAACCCATGTCTTTAAAGCAAATGTTAAAAAATCCTAATACTAACAAATCATCTAATTTAGCATCGTAACACCTAAAAGGGTTATGATTATAGTCACCATTAAATTGGTTAAGACCACCAAAATTATTCAAAATTTATTTTAATTTGACTATTAAAAATAATTGATAACTAACAAAATAATTAATATTTATTATTTAACATATTGAAATAGTTTATAAACAAATATTTCTAAATAATATCACAAACTATTTAAGAAAAAAAATTATAGACTAATAAAATTATAGTTAAATTTGTGGTCTTAACAAAATCTTTGGTAACAATAACTTCAGCCTATTGAAGCAGTAAGAAAGTAACCCACCTAGTAACAGATAAAGTTGCTTTAAATAGTTTCTCAAGTAGTTAAGAGTTTAAGATTTCAAATTAAAATTTTTAAATTCGATCTTTAAGACAAGTAGAGAGAGATTGAGGGAAGGAGGGGATTATTTCCATTATATAACTTATAATGCGATATAGGGTGATATTATTGTTATATCCTTAATTACTAATATTATACTTTTTATTTTAATTAATTATTATATCTTTTGATATATTAAGAAATAAAAAATATAATTTTTTTTTAAAAGTATACTATAAAAGTATAACAAATAATTACATTAAAAAATTATGATAAGACAATAACTACTACCCCTATAATGTAAGTAAAAAAAAAAAAAAAGGGTAACAAAATAGGTTTAGTACCGACATCCCCCGGGGACGGAAGTAACAATTATCTAGATTAAAAAAAAAAAAGCTTGAAGAACCAATAACCAGTTGTTTTGAATAGAGGGAATTTAATCCCTTTTAAATAAAGTTTCAAATTCAAATCTTGTGAATGAAAATGAGGATTTTCTCTTTTATGAGGTCTGATGCAATTCAATTCCGAAATAATCAGAATCCAATGTGATTATCAGACACCAAAAAGTTAATAAAAAAAAAAAACTTGAAGATGCACCGCACTCTAAACAAGTGCTTCATTTTGATTGTGCATGGTTATTTTTTAATGTAAGATTTACATGGGGTTGTTAAAAAATTAATTCGCTAGATTAAAA